CCCCTCCCTCCCCCTCCCTTCTCTTCCTCCTCCTCTCTCTCCCTGGTGCTCACTTCTTCCAGGACCCGCTGACCTGGCTCCGACCATGCCACCTTTCCCTCGGGCACCTCCTGTTGCGGGCACCTGGGCTGGAGCTGCCCTGAAAGGAGCCTCCACGTGGTGTCCCCAGCACGCTGCCACCTCAGGACCCTCAGCCCCTCCTCACCTTCCTCTGCCTGACACCGCAGCCATTTCCACATCTGCTCTCCTGGCCCCAGGAGGAGGGCCGGCCCCTCAGACTCCATGCCGGTGCCCAGCACATCCTGAGCCCCAGATACTTGAATGAATGAATGCGCTGCTTAGAGATGTCCGTGTTCTTTAGATTTTAAGGAGCTCTGGTAGCATAGTGCCTAAGGCACTTGACTGCTAACCAGAAGGCTGGAGGTTCAAACCCACCAGCCACTCCTCGGAAGGAAGGTTGGGCAATCCTACTTCCGTAGTGATACTGCCTCGGAAACCCAAGGAGGGGTCGCTATGAGTCGGGGCCGACTCGATGGCAAACACAGACAGAAACACAGGACTGCAATAGCCGGCTCCTTTCCTTGGACCTCCTTCCTCTCCCTCCCCGTCCCCCTCCTCTAAAAAAAAAAACAAACAAACTAGCAACCCCCTCTTGGGTTTCCGAGGTGTTATCAAGGTGGTATCACTACGGAAGTAGATTGCCCCATCTTCCTTCTGAGGAGTGGCTGGTGGGTTTGAACCAGCAGACTTCTGGTGAGCAGTCAGATGCCTTAGGCACTACGCCACCAGAGCTCCCACTGTGTGGATATAACACAGTTTTATATTTTTTATTGTGAAAAATACACGCACCGAGACATTGGCCACCAACAGTTTGCAGTTTACAAGTCAGGGCACTGACCACCCACGGCAGGTAATGCGGCCTTTGGTGCCATCCAGTCCAAAACACCCACCACTGTTAACGTGACCTCAGTGCCCCCAGAGCGAGACTGTCCCCCGTCGTCTGGCAACCGTTAGTTCACGACGTACCTTTAAAGCGTGACTTACCAGGGAGGCTCCTGAGGTCTGCGATTCTCGCCAAGGTGCTGAGGGCGATCCAGCACAAGCCGTAGGCCTGCTGACTTGTTTCTCTCTTTGCGTCCCATGGGACTGGCTCCCGCCCCGCAGGGACTGTACAAGGCGGATACACGGTTCGGGCCGGGCGTGGAGACTCACCCCGACGGCAGCCAGGACGTGGGGCTGTGGGCCAAGGAGCACCTCATTAAGCTGTGCTCGGAGACGCCCGGCAGCTTCTCCCTGCTCACCTACCCAGAGCTGGCCCACTTCCTCACACGGGCCCCAGCCAGGCTCAGTCTGCCGGGTGACGGGAAGATGGACTGGGGCCTGGGCGAGGGCCAGGACCCCTTCTTCTATGAATATAAGAGGTTCCTCCTGGACGACACCCTCACGCTGCCCCCAGACATGCACGTCTACTCCACTGACAACAGCCACCTGCCCGTGACCTGCTCCTTCCGCAAGGACTTGGATGCCCGCTTCTTTGTGGATGATGTCCCACCCTTCGTGGAGGACGGAGAGCCCTGGTTCATCACGAACGAGACCCCTCTCCTGGTCAGGATGCAGGAGCAGGCGTACAGGTTCAGGTGATCAGCGGCCCCCTTCCTTGTCCATGCTCTCCTCTCTGTGCTGCTCAGGCGAGCGAGGACTGGGCTCCTGAAAACCTGTAGCACCAGCCGCCGTTCAGGGTCCGAGCATCAGCCCAGGGGCCATAGGAGGTGACTGAGGGCTAGAATCTCCGTGCAAGACACTCAGGTTCGAGTCCCGGCCGACGGCCCTCATGCCCAGCTGTCGCCGTCCGTCAGCGGGGGCTTGCCTGCTGCGCTCACAGTGACCAGGGGTCAGTGTAGCCACCAGAGTAGGAAGGACCAGGAAGGAGGCCTGAGGACCTGCCTCTGGAAATCAGCTAGTGAAGACGCTGTGGGTCACGGCGGCCCTACCGTGGGCTGCCTTGGGGGTGGCACAGGACCGCACAGTGATTGTTCTTTGTGCCTGTGGTCACCCCGCATCAGGGGCCGACTCCAGTAACGACAGCAGCACAGTCTAATTACGAAGGTGGGAGGGAAGCCCTCACTGGAGCCTGCGAGTCAGGAAGCTCTCCCCAAGTGTGGGAGGCTGAAGGGCGCTGAGCCAGGCAGGCTGTGTGGGCATCTGTGGATGCCCAGGGAAACAGGGGTCCCAGGAGCCCCCCACCTGCTCTCAGGGGAGGATGTTCAGGAGGGCGCTGAGTGAGGGTGGGGCCAGGCTAGTGAAAGCAGACCAGGCTGTGGAGAGGTCCTGGAGTCCAAATCCCACTCTGCAACCTGTGCTGTTTCCTCCTTTGTACATGGCGCTAGTGCCCCCCCCCCCATGTCTACGAGGAAATGGTCTGGTGGATGTAAATGAAGGGCTGTCATGACCGTCCTGTGTTAAAGGGGGATCTGGTCAGACAGCCGAGGGCAGGAGAGCAGGGAGTGGCCTGGGGCTTCTCCAAAGACAGCTGGGAAGAGCTGCTTCCATTCTAGGGACACCCACCCTGCACCTCACGCCCCCAGGAAGGGTAACATTCACTTAAGGAGGAAACAGGAATATCTCAAAATCAAAATGTTCACAGGTTTTAATCCTTTTCCTACATTTTGTCCCCAGATAGTCCTCAACTGTCAAGACTGTGCATTTTACGAGCACAAATGGCTACTTTCCCACCCATCCACCCATTCATCATCCATCCATCCATCCATTCAATCATCTACCCACCCATCCATTTATCCATCTCTCCATCCATCCACCCATCCACCCACCCATCCATCCATCCATCTATCACCTATCCATCCATCCATCCATCCATCCACTCATCCATCCATTCACCCACCCATCCATCCATCTATCCATCTATCCATCCATCCATCCATCCACCCATCCATCTCTCCATCTATCCATTCATCCATCCACCCATCCATCCATCCATCCACCCACCCATCCATCTCTCTATCTATCATCCATCCACCCATCCATACATCCATCCGTACCTCCATCCCCTCATCATTGAGGACTGTTGGGTACAAAAGCCGCCATAAATCCCTGGGCTCTTGGTTATACACACAGCTACGTGCATACGAGGTGACAAGACTGTGTGATGAATGCACCATGGGACTTTCATGTTTAAGTAGAGCAGTGAAAGTGTAGCAGGTGGGGCACTGTAGGCACTTGGTGCCAATCTCCGTTCCCCATATGCGTGGCTGGCCTTCTCTCCTCCAAGGGCCTACCATGAGAGTCCCTTTCTTACCAAACCTAGTGTGGTAATTAAGGCTATGTGTCAACTTGGCTGGGCCTGGTTGAGTGGCTTGGCAGCTGGTGGTAATTATTCCCCACGATGAGACTGGCAATCGACTCCGTGGTGGGATCTACCACAAGCAGTTGAGTAGCTGTTTTAGGAGTAGCATAGTGCCTAAGGCATTTGACTGCTAACCAGAAGGTTGGCGGTTCAAAAGCACCAGCCACTCCTTGGAAGGAAGATGGGGCAATCTACTTCTGTAGTGATACTGCTTCGAAAACCCAAGGAGGGGTCGCTATGAGTTGGGTCTGACTCGATGGCACATAACAACAACAACCCTTATATAAGATGCAGCTTTGGGAAAGGTCTCTAGCTTATGGCACGCTTGACCCTGCATGTAGCCGTGTCATTATTCAGCAGCCTGCCATGCTCTGCCGACCTTGGGACTTACAATGAACTTGAATTAATGGCCTGTCAAGTGGTAACATGGGGACTGTGTCTTTTTACTTGGTGACACAACCTTGGGCTTGTTAGTCTCAGCAGCCAGCAGCTGTCGAGTGAAGAAAAGCCTCTAGTTCCAGTGGACCGGGAGCAGGAGGCAGAGCTGAAGCCAAGGTTGAGGGGCTTTCATCCAGCCCCTAGAGCCTGGCACTTTGAACTCAGACTTAAAACTTCCAACTGTAAGAGAATAAACTCCTGTTTGTTCAGCCATCCTATTTGTGGTACATTCTAGTCAGAGCGGCACTAGGGGACCGGGACACCTAGGGTCACCCAGATGGTCCTTCTCTCTGCTAACAGTCCTGTCTGGGGCACATGGGTGCTGATGGTGAGGCCCTCCCTGGTCGGAGGTCCCACATCTCTATTCTGTCCACACTGGCAGGGCCGGTGGCAGCTGCAGCCCCCGGGGCTCAGCGTCTCTGAGGGGTGTCCTGAAATGGTGGAGGGGCTGAGGAGTGAGAAGGGCAGAGGGAGGGAGGTGGCCATCCCTGTAGATGTCTAGGGCCGGCCTGCCACTGCTGAGGCCCACTGTGTTGCAGGAACAACAAGGCCTACACCCACTGGAACATGGCTGCCATCATGAGGGGCGACCGCAGCAGCTTCGCACACTGTGGGCTCAGGGAACAGCTGGCCAGGGAGATGATCCTGAAGGCTGAGAACGGGGACTATGACTGGATCTGTGGGATTCTGCGGGACAACCTGGCCTCTGCCAACGTGGCTGATGCCAAGGGCTACACCGTGCTTGCTGCGGCTGCTGTAAGGCCCCACCTCCTGTCTGCTCTGCTCTGTGGGCTCGCTATGCCCAGAGGGTCCCCAGGGAGATCCACCCTTGCACATGGGGGCGCTCCCAGTCCCCCCCTGTGCCAACACAGCAGAGAGGAATGCTGAGTTCTCACCGCGCCTGCGCCTCTGTCTGTCTGGGAAGCCCAGTCCCCCAGCCTGAAGCCCACCCACCGCTGTGATGTTCCCAGTCAAAAGGAGAAGAAGGGTGGAGGTCCTTCTCCTCCGACTACGAGCTTGACCTTGTCTGTCCCCGTGCCTGAGTGTGACCCCCGGGGTCTGGGATCCCCGGGCCCGCCGTAACAAAGCGCCCCAAGGGGTGGCTGTGAAGCGCAGCGTGACTCTCACAGGGGAGTCTGTGGTTGCGGTGTCAGCACGGTGCCTCCTGAAGCTGTGAAGGGGTGTGTTCCAGGCCTCTCCCAGCTTGTGTGGCCCTAGGCGTTCCCTGGTGTGTGGCTGCATCTGCATGTGGCATCCTTCCTCTGTCTGTCTGTCTGGGTTTCTTCCTCTTTTGTGAGACAACACTCCTAGGGCTGGGGCCTGTCCTAGGCCGGTGTGTCCTCATGTCGACCTAACTGACGGCATCTTCAGAGACCCTGTTTCCAGACAGGTGCAGGTTAGACCTCACGCCATCTTGTGGGGCCGCAGTTCAACCCAAGACACTTGGGGTCTTGTGGTTTCCCACACTCATGCTGGTACGGGGAGTTCTGTACCCAGGACAGCACAGGGAGGAGTGCCCTCTGCCCTGCCAAGGGTCTCACACAGATTGAGTCTACCCCACCCCCACAGTCTCCATCAGGGTGGGTCTGCCCCCCCGCCCCCCCACAAGCTTCATCAGGGCGGGTCTGCCCCCCCAGCCCCCCATCTCGATCAGGGCGGGCCTGCCTCCCCAGCCCCCTATCTCCATCAGGGCAGGTCTGCCTCCCCAGTCCCACCCCCGCAGTCTCCATTGGGCGGGTCTGCCCCCTCAGTCATCTTCTTTTTCTTTTTTATTGTGCTTTGGGTGCGGATTCACAGGCAGAATTTGTTTGACATTCAACAGTTTGTGTACATTTGGTTTCCCTCCCCAGCTACCATCCCCAACCCTCCCCCACTCTCCTCCTCTCCCTGCCCAGTGACCTCCCATCCCTGCGCCCTTCTTAGTGGTGCACTCCTGTGTGTCCAGCTCTCCCTCCATGGGAATGCTGCCCCTCTGGTGCCCCATGGCCGATTGCTCCAAGGGCTGCATCTCCGTAGAGCGGGGGGTGCACCACCCTGGGCTGGGTGTTGTGCATGTAAGTCTTACTTCTGTTGGGCTCAGAGCCAGCCCTTGGGAGTGAGTCCTATCCCGGGACTGACATGTATCCCAGGGCCATAGTCTTGGAGGTCCCACTAGACTCCATCCAACCAGGACTTCTGGTCATTATTGTGTTTTTGGATTTTGTTCCATGTTTTCCCTCCCACTCTATCCAGGATCTCCTGTTTTGATCCCGTCCCAAGTGGTTGCCATTGGTAGCTGGGCACCCCAGTCTTCTTCAGGGCAGGTCTGCCCCTCGGTCCCCCAGCTCCCTCAGGGCATTACTGTCCCCCAGCCCCCCTTCTCACTCAGCAGGCTCTGTCCCCCTGTCTCCCCTCACTCACTTGGGTCTGTCCCCCCAGCCCCCCTTCTCACTCAGCAGGCTCTGTCCCCCCATCTCCCCTCACTCACTTGGGTCTGTCCCCCCAGCCCCCTTTCTCACTCAGCTGGGTCTGCCCCCTACCTCCGCTTCTCGCTCAGTTGGGTCTGCCCCCCTGTACACCCTCACTCAGCTGTTTCTGTCCCCAGTCCTCCCCTCACTCAGTTGGGCCTGCCCCCTGGTCCCCTCACTCGGCTGGGCCTGCCCCCTGGTCCCCCTCACTCGGCTGTTTCTGTCCCCAGTCCTCCCCTCACTCAGCTGGGCCTGCCCCTGTCCTCCCCTCACTCGGCTGGGCCTGCCCCCTGTCCTCCCCTCACTCAGCTGGGCCTGTCCCCTGGTCCCCTCACTCGGCTGGGCCCGCCCCCTGGTCCCCTCACTCGGCTGGGCCTGCCCCCTGTCCTCCCCTCACTCGGCTGGGCCTGCCCCCTGGTCCCCTCACTCGGCTGGGCCTTCCCCCTGTCCCCTCACTCGGCTGGGCCTGCCCCCTGGTCCCCTCACTCGGCTGGGCCTGCCCCTTGTCCCCTCACTCGGCCGGGCCTGCCCCGCCCCTGGTCTCAGCCAGTCTGCTGTGTGTCTCCAGGTCCACTGCCGTGTGGAGATCATCAGCCTCCTGCTGGACAGCGGGGCTGACGTGAACAAGCTCTCGGATGAGGGCCTCACACCCCTCAGCATGTGCTTCCTTCTGCACTACCCCGCCACATCCTTCAAGGCCAACATTGCCGAGAGGACCGTGCCGGAGCCCCAGGTCAGCCCCCGGGGCCCTCTGTCTGTCCCTCTGCATACCACCCACCACCTCTTGGCCACCAACCAGCTCCCTCGTCTGGGACAGGGTCAAGGTGGAGTCTGAGCATCATGTTCAGTGCAGATTGAGTGAGGACAGAGCTGGCACACTTTGCGGGGGGACACGTGTCACCTACACACATGTGCCCACTCTGCACGTCCTGAGGCAGTCCCCACCCTAGTCCTTAAGAAAAGTGGCATTGTGGGGTGGAGGGAAGGTTTCTGTAACTGCCATAGCAAAAACATGACAATGCGGTGGCCGTGAAGAGCAGGGAGGTACTGTCGCATGGCGCAAGATAAGCTTCTGAGTCTGGGCACGGGCAGGGCTGGGCTCCCTCTGGCCTGGGGGAGGGGCCTCTCCTCCTGCTTCTATAGCCCTGGACGGTCCCTGCTGCGGGCAGCACTGCTTGTGTGGTGTCTGTCTTCCTCTGGGTGTCTGATCTGTTCTTTTCTAAGACACCACTCCGACCCACTCGACTCACCATGACCTTGTTACCATAGCTGAAGAAAACCCCTGTTCCAAACAGGGCCACACACAACTTCTGTTGGGGCAGTTCAATCCATAGCAATGTCCACATGGTAGACTCGACCATGAGGTCTACCTTTCAGCAGTGTGGCGAGTGCTGCTGTAAGCATACATGTAGGGGTGTTTGTTTGAACATATGTTTCCAGTGAACATGCATGTACAGTGTTTGAACACCTGTTCCCATAAATATACATGCACAGTGTTTATTTGAATGCCTGTTCCTGTTGAACATGTGTGTACAGTGTTTGTTTGAACACCTGTTCCTGGTGAACGTGTGTGTACAGTGTTTGTTCAAACATCTCTTTCCAGCTCTCTTGGGTGTCTGTACACGAGTGAGGTTGCTGGGCCATCTGGCAACCCCACGTTTAACCTGTGGAGGAACCATGGACTGTTTCCATGGTGGCTGCACTGTTTCCATCGGGACAAATTACAGTCTGGGTGAATGGCTCCTCCTGGGCTCATGCCACCAGCCACAGGCCAGCCCTCCTTCGCCAAGGGTGGACTCATGTCTGCCCTTAGTCTGTCCTCTAGGTAGGGGAAGTGTCCTCTGGGCAGCCCCTGAGCATGAATGTTTCCACTCGCCAGGCAGACCCCGGGCCTCAACTGTTAGCCATTTGAGGACGGGCTGAGGTCCATGGAGAAGGCAGAGAGGCCGGGGGAGGTGGGCGCCTCACAGAGGGTTGGACACGATGCGAGTGACCTTGCATCCATGGCACACCCATGCGCCCACGGCTGAAGTTCCAGCATGTAACCCACACCATAATATCGAGTAGATGGACTCTGCTCTCCTTTCGGGTGTCTGGGAAGCCAGTGTGCGTTCCACACACGGTGCCCCCGACTCTGGATGCTCCTCATCTAGTGGCCTGTGGCTGCTGTGTGGGACAGCACCGCCCAGGAGCGTGACCTACCCAGGCTCAGACTTCCGTTCAGTGACTCGGCAGGGCCCTGCTGGTAGGAGGGTTTGTGGAAGGTGCTGAGCTCATGGATGGGGCTGTCCCTCAAATGACAATAGACACATTGGCATTGAGTGGCACAGCCCATGGGGACCCAATGTGTGTCAGATGGGAGTGACCCCGTGGATGTCAGAGGGGAGCCGGGCCCATAGGGTTGGCTGGATTTTCCTAAGTAGATTGCCAGGGCTTGCTTCTGGGGTACCACTGGCTGGATTCGAACCGCCAGCCTTTGAGTTAGCGGCTGAGTGCACGCTGGGCCCCAGGGGCCTAACCAAAGGTCTAGAGAAGGCAGCAGGTGTCTGTGTGTGGCTGTCTTAGCTGCCCAGTGCTGCTGGGACACACCAGAGGAGGACTTTCACACATCCCTTCTCCCGCAGTTCAGGAGGCTGGCAGTTGGACTTCAAGGCCCTGGCTTCTGGGGAGGCTTCCTTCCTCAGCCGGCTCTGGAGAAAGTCCCACTGTCTTTAGCTTACGGTCCTTAGCTCCTTGGGGACCCACATGTGGCCTCGATCTTCCCTGCGTGTCCTGCCTGCTTGCTTCTGTCCCTAACCTTCTCTTTTGTTTCTCAGAAGTGATTGACTTGAGACACGTGACCCATTGATGTGGCCTTATTAACATGACAGAGGAAACCCTATTCCCTTGTGGGATGTGTCCACAGGGACGGTAGGACAGGGCCCCATTCAGTCCATAACTATATGTCTATCATATATAAGCCAGCCTGTTGAGTGGCTTCTCACCATGACTCCACGTGACAGACTAGAACCACCCTGTAGGTTGTGATCTCAGGCTGTGATCTTTCTGGGCCCAGCTCATCTGTTCTTTCTGCCATGGGTCAGCTGGTGAGTTTGAATCGCTGACCTTTTGATTAGCAGCTGAGTGCTCAATCACTGCACCACCAGGCTCTCTCTCTCTCTATTTTTTTTACCTTCTAAAGGAAGGGACTCTTCGCTCCCCAGTTCTGCCAACCCACTCCTTCCTGCCCGTTGAGTACACCACGGACTCTCTCAAGCACCAGGAGGATGTCCTGAGCCAGAGCTGGTATGAGCTGAAGTCGGTGGTTCAGGGCTCCGAGGATGACATTGCCTCTTGGAACCTCCTCCAGTTGTCCCAGGAGTCAGTGGACATGGGGAGCACATCCCAGAGGCCTGGCTCCGCGCAGGACAGGGGCGCCCTCCTCGAGTCCCTGCAGGGGCTGGACGACGCTCTGGGGAATGCAGACAAGTACTCACAGTACAGCAACGACATGACCTTTGACACCAACCGTGGTGTCCACGCCTTCTCCATCACACTCTCGCCTGGCTTCCTGGAGCAGAGTGCCTACATCTACAGCTTGCTCAAGGCCCCGCCCTTGGGCGCCAGCAGCTCTGACAAGGGGACCTTGCGGAAAATGGTGCTGTCCCTGATTGAGTGAGTCGCCAAGTGGGTGGGGTTGTGGTGGCTCTAGGCTTGAGCATCTACTGGGCTATAACCCACACTCTGCAAAGCCAGCAGGGGGTACCACAGCAGTAGGTCCAATCCCAACACCGTCCTCACCTGGCACAGCCTGGACATGGGCCGTGGGGTGTCTGTGTGGGTTCTCAGGTGTCATCACCTGGGTGGTGTCTATAATGGTGGTGTGGAGGACCCACAGGTGTGTAGTGTGTGTCACATAGGTGCTCATACTCATCCACCCACTCCACACATCTACTCACCCCCAGACTGGACCAGTGGTTCTCAGAGGTGGCCCAGTCACCCCTGGGGTCCCCAGGATCATTTCAGGGGGTCTGCGAGGTTGTAACTATCTCGTAGTCACCTGAAGACATCACTCACCTTCTTCACCATGTTCACTTTTGCTTGGATGGTGCAGAAGCAGTGGTGAACAGGACAGTGGCACCCCACTCATGTCGGGTGGGGGCACTGTGTGGCACAAGTCAGCCAGGCTTACCTCGCCCCATGTATATGCAGCAGGAAGACACCATGCATTCACTGAGGCAAAATTGTTCCATTAATTCCATGAAGTCTTGACCTGGGAGTGGACGGACAGAAGGACACACAGAGCAGGACAGTGGTTTTCCAGACAAAGCCCCTCTCCCATCACTGGAGGTGCAGGTGGAACTGGCCATTCCAACTACGGCACCATTTTTTCTTAAATGACTGGACAGCTGGCAAACTATGGTTATTTGTTCTTGGGTGTGTGGCGATGTTTTCTTGCATGTCTCCTTAAGGAAAACGCTGGCAGTGTTGGCTCCCAGGGATCAATTCCGGCTTTTACATGGACACAAGGGCTTTGGAACACTCACACCCACCACAGAGACTTCATGGGTCCTGGTGGTGAAGGTTGTTCTCAGGAAGTCGGTGGTGTTCTTAGCAAACGTGATCTGCTGATCTTGTCTAATGATGTGTGTCAACACTGGGAAGATTTGCACAGCTCAGGGAACCAGTGTTTTTCCAAATGACCAAGGTCCAATGTCATCCAGGCACAGATGGGTGTGGTAGTTAAGTTGTGGGTCAAATTGCCTGGGCTGTGGTTCTGATCAGCTGGGCAGCTGGATGTAGTTATTCCCTGTGATGGGATTGTAATCACCTCCAGGGTGGACTCTGCTGTGAACAGTTAATGAGTTGCCTTCAGTGTGTGCCCTGCTTCCAGTATATATGGAGAAGCTTGGAGGAAGGTCTCTGGCTTTTGGACACATTTGGATCCTTCATTTGGCCGAGTCTGCAGCTCCAGCTCCTGGACTTGAACCAATGGCCTGCCACGTTGCCTGCTGATTTTGGGGTTGTGCTATTTTACTTACCAACCTTGGGTTCATCAGCCTCAGCAGCCAGGAGCCGCATGAGTTAGGAGACACCTCCAGCTCCAGTGGGCATGGAGCAAGAGGCAGAGATGAAGCCCAAGGTCGAGGGGCCTTCACCCAGCCCCTAGAGCCAGCACTCTGAAGCTAGACTTCTAACCTCCTAAGGCACCTGACTGCTAACTAGAAGGCTGGAGGTTCAAACCCACCAGGCACTCCTCGGAAGGAATGTTGGGCAATCTACTTCCGGAGTGATACTGAGTCAGAAACCCAAGCAGTGGTCACTACGAGTCAGATCTGACTTGACGGCACATAACAACAACAACAACAAACTGTAGGAGAATACACTGCTTGTTAAAGCCACCTGTTCATGGTATTTCTATTACAGCAGCACTAGGGAACCAAGACATACACACCCCCACACTCACACACCACACACAGACACACCAAGACAATGAGTAAAGATCCAGTCACAGTGAGGGGAAGACCAGTGCAACAAGTTCCCTGATATGGGTTTCAAGTTCCACATTGCAATGAATAAACTACTGCCAGTGGGTCTTCCAGGCAAAGACTAGGAGGAAAGGCCTGGAGATTCACTTCTGAAAACCAGCCAGTGAGAACTCTAAGGATCACAAGGGTCTGAGCTGCAGCCAACCATGGGGCTGGCATGGGACCAGGCATGTTCTATTCCATGGTGCATGGAGTCTCTGTGAGTCGGAGCTGGTTAGATGACAGCTTACAACAAAGAAGAGTGTCCACACTTACCTGCAAAGGCTACTGAGCTGTGCCTCCTTTTCCACATGCATATCCTTGGGAGGAAGGGTCCTCGTCACCCACTCACCCTACATGACAGATTGAGATGGACTGGGACTCAGAACCTAAGCCAGATGACACTGAAGAGCATTACAGAAACGGAGTCACTCACCCCATGAATTTCTTTTGTTTAGGAAAGGAGAGTAATTTTAATGAATGCTGTTATTTGTATAATATGCAAGGGTTGACTTGAAGCCTGGGGACCACAGACAGAGCTGGGATCTCAGGTAAGGGGAGGGACACAGGCCCCACTCCCAAGAGGCAGGAAGCAGAGAGGTTTCAAACAGCTAAGGAAGATGAACTTGTCTGTAAGTTCGTCATACTATGGTGGCTTGTACATTGCTGTGAGGCTTGAGGCTGTGCCACTGGTGTTTCAAACACCAGCAGAGTTGCACATGGTACACAAGTTTCAATGCTGCTTACAGACTGAAACAGACTAGGAAGAAGGACAAGGCCATCCACTTCTCAAAGAATTGGTCAGGGGAAACCTTATGAATAGCAGAGAAACACTGTCTGATACATTACTGGGCAACTTTATGAATAGCTTGGAAACACTGTCTGATACAGTACAGAAGGATGAGCTCCTTAGGTCAGAAGGTTTTCAAAATACAACTAGGAAAGAGCTGCATCATCAGAGTCAGACCAACATTGTTGATATGGATAAAGTAAAGCTTTCGGGATCTCCATTTGCTGATGTGGCATGACTCAAATTGAAGAGAAACAGCTGCAAACATCCATTAATAGGAACACGGAATGTACGAAGTATGTATCTAGGAAAATTTCAAGTTGTCAAAAATGAAATGGAATGCATGAAGATTGATATCCTAGGCATTAGTGAGCTGCAATGGACTGGTTTTGGCCATTTTGAATCAGACAACCATATGATAGTAGCCAAGAATGACAGTTTGAAGAGGAATGATGTGGCATTCATTATCACAAAGGCTGTTTCAAGATCTGTCCTGAAGTACAATGCTGTCAGTGATAGGATAATATCCATACACCTACAAGAAAGACCAGTTAATACTACTACTATTCAAATTTATGCACCAACCACCAAAGCAAAGATGAGGAAATTGAAGTTTTTATCAACTTCTGCAGTCTGAAATTAACCAAACATGCAATCAAGATGTGTTAATTATCATTGGTGACTGGAATGCAAAAGTTTGAAACAGAGAAGAATCACTGATAGTTGGAAAATTTGGCCTTGGTAACAGAAATGATGCTGGAGATCGCATGACAGAATTTTGCAAGACCAATGACTTATTTGCTGCAAATACATTTTTTCAACAAGACAAATGGCAGCTATACACATGGACTTTGCCAGATGCAGTATGCAGGAATCAGATAAGCTACATCTGTGGCAAGAGGCGATGGAAAATCTCAATATCTTTAGCCAAAACAAGGCCAGGAGCTGATTGTGGAACAGACCATCAACTGCTCATATGCCAGTTCATCTTGAAGTTGAAAACAATTAAAACAAGTCCACAAGAATAAATCTTACCAGGGACACAAAAGATCTGTACAAAGAAAACTATACCAAACTACTTCAAGAAACCATGAGAGCTACATAAATGGAAGAACATACCATGCTCGTGGATAGGAAGATTGAACGTTGTGAAAATGTCAATTCTACCCAAAGCAATCTATACATTCAATGCAATCCCAATCCAGATTCCATCAACATTTTTTAAGGATATGGAAAAACCAATCACTAACTTTATACGGAAAGGAAAGAGACTTCAGATAAGCAGAGCACTATTGAAGAAGAAGAACAAAGTAGGAAGTCTCACATTGCTGGATCTCAAACTCTACCACACAGCCACAGTAGTCAATACTGCCCAGTATTGGTACAATGACAGACACATAGAACAATGGAATAGAATTGAGAACCCATGCTGAACCTATGGTTAGCTGATCTTTGTTTGACAAAGGTCCAAAATGCATTAAGTGGGAAAGAGAATGTTTGTTTAATAAATGGTGCTGGCAAAATTGGATATTCATTTGCAGAAAAATGAAACAAGATCTGTACCTCACACCATATACAAAAACTAACTCCCAATGGATCAAAGACTTAAATGTGAAACCTAAAACTACAAAGTTCCTCAAGGAAAAACGAGGGGCAAATTTAGGGGTCCTAATATATGGCATAAATAGACTATCAAGCATAACCCCAAATGCACAAACAGCTGAAGATAAAGTAGATGAATGGGACCTTCTGCAAATTAAATTTTGTATGTGCTTCCAAAGACTTCTCCAAAAGAGTCCAAAGAGAACCTACAGATTGGGAAAAAAATATTTGGCAATGACACATCTGACAAGGGACTATCTGTAGAATTTACAGACAACTCTAACACCTCAATAACAAAAAGACAAATAGTCCAATTAAAAAATGGAGAGACGACATGAATAGATACTTCACGAGGATATTCAGGCAGCCAACGGACATATGAAGAAATACTCACAATCATTAGCCATTAGAGAGATGCAAATAAAAACAACAATGAGATACCATCTTGCTCCAGCACTAGTAGTAAAGTTCAACAAGACAGAAAATAACAAATGCTGGTGAGGATACGGAGAGTTTGGGACTCTCATACACTTCTGGTGGGACTGTAAAATGATACAACCACTGTGGAAAGCAATAATGGTGATTCCTTAAAAAGTTGGAATTAAAAATACCATTTGACCCAGCTATTCCATTACTAGGTATATATCCTGAGGAAGTGAGAGCCAGGACAAGAACGGATATATGCACACCCATGTTCATCACGGCACTATTTACAGTATCCAAAAGATGGAAACAACGTAGGTGTCCATCAACTG